TAATCCTGTCGCGTTCATTTCCCTTATGCACCTTACATGCAGGCGCACCATTTCTTTCCACTAATACTAGCAGCGAATATTATAGCAGTCGATTGCCATGTCATTAGTCTTGTACTGACTTGTTTGGTGTGTGCAACAGGAAATATTTTGCTTTTGGAGAACAAGAAAAATAGGTTTATTTGCGTTACACTTATTAATTTGTGCAGTTATTCAGTATCTGGTAAGTTAATGTTCAAGAAAAAATATTAACTTTTAATAAATGTTCTATTATTTTATGTTAACCATTGCTCATTTATTTCAGCCCTTTGTATTCACCATGTCTTTATCAACATAAGCCTACCTTTCCATGAAAATGGAAGCTTTTTTTTTTGCAGCCCACATAAACTTAAACCTTGTTTATTTGGCCCGTGTTAGCCTTTGAGTTTGAAATGCTTGAAGCAGAGTAAGACCTTAACTGAATCTTAAACAATAGCCAAGACTTGGTAAGCTGAAAAGAAAGGGGAGGGTACTCAAGGCAGAGGCAAAAATATTCCCTAGCACAGGAGCAAGTCTACAGAATGCCTTTGTGAGACTGGAAGGACATAGGCCTGAACAGGGCATGCAGTTCGGTGAGTACTGGTTTGAAACAGGAATACCTAACAGGATTGCTTTATTCTCCAGCGTGCAGGCTTTACAATAAGTCTTATTTGCTTTTGTTGTTGGAGTTGCTATGAGTTTGTTGTAAGTTTTGGTCTCTTGAAACTGCTCTGACAGGTTCAACATCATTTCCCACTTTGCACAGTAAAATATGCAGCGTGGGTTACATAGAAGTGAACAGAGGATAACAACATGGAACCGTTAAACATCAGGCAGAAGAAATAAACTTGAGAAATGGGAACATTGTGCAAATGTTCCCATTTCTCAAGTTTATTTATTTAACCTGATGATATCTAAGCAGTTATTTACAGATATTTTGTGGTTTTTAATAGTATTAAGAAATGTTTTCTACATCTATTTTGATGTTCTTTTTTGGATAAATGCTGAAATAAAATACATGGACAACACAGGTAAAAGTACAAATAAATACTAAAAGAACTTATTTTGAAATAGTCAAAGTACCTAGTGGTAATTGCAATAGGTCTTCATTTATTCCTCTAACATTTTTTTGTACATTTATCCAACATGAGGAAAATGTGATTGTAGTTGCTAGTTCTATTCTTGACCCAGAATAGAATTCTAGTTTCAGATACCCGGGTCCTCTAGGTCTAAATATCATTTTTAATGGTTTGATGTTCTTTTTTGGATAAATGCTGAAATAAAATACATGGACAACACAGGTAAAAGTACAAATAAATACTAAAAGAACTTATTTTGAAATAGTCAAAGTACCTAGTGGTAATTGCAATAGGTCTTCATTTATTCCTCTAACATTTTTTTGTACATTTATCCAACATGAGGAAAATGTGATTGTAGTTGCTAGTTCTATTCTTGACCCAGAATAGAATTCTAGTTTCAGATACCCGGGTCCTCTAGGTCTAAATATCATTTTGAATGTTAGTTGGACATATTAAGTATTTGGAATAAAGAATTGATGTTTGAGCCCTTAATTCATGCTTTCACCAATGTTGTCTAATGTCATTCCCATAATAATTCTATGAAGTAAGTGTCATTCCCAATTTAGAGATCAGGAAATTAAAACTCCACAGTAATCTTCCCATGATCACCAACCAGGAAGCAGTTTGAACTGGGATTTAAATTTAAGCCTTTGGATCTGGGGCTTGGAGTTTTCCAGGTACCATGCTGCTCCCAGGAAGCAGAGGGGGAAGCTGTGAAGGACAAGGGAGGAGAGGTCCGGAGCAAGCTGACCGGTCGGGAGCTGGGACACCTTTGCTCTGCTTCTCCTGGTGCTCTCTGCACCTGCCTCCCCCTGGGGTGCCCTGGAGGCTGCGTTCCCTGGCTGTCTTGCCCAGAACCTGTCCGCTGTGGGCGCTCAGAGATTAGAGAACATGAGGTGTGGTGTTGCTGTTCTCCCGGCTGCCAGGTCACAGTGTGTGGGGGCATTTCTCCAGGCAGCAACCCTTGTCGCTCCAGGCCCACGCGTGGGCATGTGTCACCACTGTGATAAGCCTTGGGGAATTAAGCTGTTCCTTGTTAATTTCGCTCCCCACCTCTTTACAAACTCTAGTTCCTTTATTCAATGCTCCTCCCATTAGCCAGTCTGAATGTGCTGTTGTTTCCGGTGGATTCCTAGCAGGCAGTCACGGTGGCAGTGGCTATGGATGCTTTTTAATTTTTATTGTTTTTACTTTCCTCAGATCCATCGCTTCTCCAACAATTTTTATAGTGATTTGAATGGTGTGATGACAATTCAAGCAAAACCACTTCAGCAGAGACCGACCCATTTTGCAGACAGGACGCAGTACGTATGAGAAATAACCGCTCAGCCTCCTCCCTGTGGTGTGCACACGTGAACACCCGGACTGTGGAGGGCGAGAGAGAATGAGAATCACACTCAGGGCAGGTCACGGCCAGTGTGTGAGGATAGAAACGTGCTATTCAAATATCGACCACAGAAGGATTACTGTTACGTTGGGGCAGATATGAAAAAGGGGCCCAGACAGCATGGTTCAGTGATTGAGCATTGACCTATGAACCAAGAGGTGACGGTTCGATTCCCAGTCAAGGCACATTGCTCGGGTTGTGGGCTCAATTCCCGATAGAGAACGTGCAGGAGGCAATTGATCAATGATTCTCTCTCATCATTGATGTTTCTCTCTCTCTCTCTCCATCTCCCTTCCTCTCTGAAATCAATAAAAATATATTAAAAAAAAGAAAAAGGGAATGCAGCAGTGAATTCTTAATCTTATGGGCTATAATGTTTGACCATAAACAATAAGAAACTTAGATCTTTTCTCTCTATTGATGAAGTCTTCATTGAAATTGAAACGGATTTGGAAATAATAATCTGTTTATCTTTTTAGCAAATAGGAGTATCGTCTAGGAGCCAGGCACTGCTCTTGACGGTGTCTGGTCATGGGCAAATGTTCCCTATTCTCACAGAGCTTGCATCCCAGTAGTTAACTTGATTTCCCTTCCCCAGGAATGAACAAGAGGACAGATCACTGAGTGTGGGGGCTAGTGGCCTTTCTGCGGCCCGCCACCGTCTGGGACGAATCTCAGACTCCTGCCGACTACAGACTCCTGCAAAGAAAACCCCGGTACACAGGCGGCTGCCTTCTCTCCTTTCAGACTCACAGAGAATGAAAACCCCCAATGTGGACAGTGAGGATGTGCTTAGGGGAACAAGACTGTAAGTCCTGCTTCTCTCGTGGTAAACAAAAGTCACAGAGGACAGAGGCCCTTGTCACTTAGGGCTCATGGGTTATTCTAGACAAAGCATCCTCTGTCAAACTTATGTGGATACTTTTCTAAGTTGTTTATGCATTGGAATATTGACATGAATTGAATATTTAACATTTGAATATTTGGCATGAATTTTGTTTCAGCAGTATTTACAGCAGTTCTTAGCTGTATTTACAACTTATTGGCACCCCCATTGTGTTGTCTCGCTTTGGGGACACTACCTGGACCGTCATGCCACAGGCTTTCTGCAGCAAAGGAGGGAGTTATTACAGTCCCCCTGCACCTGGACAGTATGACTCAGTGGGTGAACATCCACCTGTATACCAAGAGGTCGCAGGTTTGATTCCCAGTCAGGGCACATGCTCTTATTTCAGGCTGATCCCCAGTGAGGAGGCATGCAGGAGGCAGCAGATCGTTGTTGATGCATCGATGTTTTGCTCTCTCTCTCCCTCTTCCTCTATCTCTACAAATCAATAAAAACATATTTTAAAAAAATAAAAAATAAAGGCCCCCCTGCGGAGGGTGGATGGTGGAAGCACTGGCCAGTTCCTAGCCAGTAATTGGACTCTTTCAAGATGGGTTCATAGCGCCACTTCCAGCTTTTTCACAGGTCAGTGTGTGTTGCGCAGTTTGGAGCTGAAATTCCCAGTTCTAGGTGGGTCTGTCCTGTTAATTCTTTCAGGACCCTTCTCCCTCCTGCGTTCTCACTGAGGCTGCCTGGGACCCATTCCTCACCCACACCCGGGCCAAGAGCACGTGACTGGTTCACTCCTCTTCCTCCCAGCCTGCCTGGGCTCCACTATCAAAACCTTTCCTATTTCCTATGAAAGTGAGTTTGGACACTTCCAACTGTACATTCCCTTTTACTTCAGGCCCCCCCCTTTCTGTAGACATGTGTTTGCCAATATTGCCATGCTCAAGGCCCTTTTCTACTCTATTTCCAACTATTCCAAACCTATGGAATTTTAATATTCCACACATATACTGTGCAATGTATGTACCTTTTTCATATCTGTGATTTACACATTAAAAGAGTAAGATTATTTTTGTCCTTTCAAAAACCAATGTTTGTCTTTTTTTCTAATAATAACAGTATCTTACTATGGTAGAAGGTAGTACTTTTTTACATACTTTTCTTACTTAACATTATTTACATTTTCCATATTATTAGATATTTTCAAAATCATAATTTTAATGACTAGAATATAATCATGTGGGTATGTGTACTTTATTATTTCTTTATTATTGAAGTTTTTGTCTATATGTTCATTATTGTAATGTGCAGTGTCATTTTATGTAAATCTAAATAAGGATGTCTTCAAATTGCTTCCTGGTGATGTAGTCCTAGAGCTAAAGACACCAGATCAAAGGTGGTGGATATTTTTAAGGACCTTCAACATTTTTTCAAAGTTTGTCCCAGAATGGTTCTACCAATTGATAGGCTCATTGATAATACAGGAGACTATCTTTTCATTCAGCTGCAAAACTTTGGGTAGTATGTGTATTTTAAAACTTGATAGGTCAAAAATGGTCCTATTTTAATTTTCACAACTTTATTATTCATGAATAAATGAATTGTAATCTGTTTCTAGAATAGCCGTCTGTAGTCTTGTGCATGAGCCAGGCAATTTATTTTTCATTTTAATATCTGATATGGAAAGCCTCCTATCATCATTACTCTTTTGTTTTTTATGAAAATTTACTCTCCTATACTGACAAATAACTATACAATATTGTCAAATTTTTTAAAATGCTTCACATTGGTTTTC